TGAAGCCGGGTGGGCGGCGAACAAAGCCCGGCCCCGGCCCGGCGCCTCCGGGCTCCAGGGCCGGTCGGTGCAGGGCCCGGTGTCCCGCAGGGCCCGGTGCCCGCGCTGCCTGCGGAGCGGCCTCCGCATTGTTGGCTGCGCGGGAAGGGCTCCGGCGTGCCTTTTAGGCATTATTTTAATTTTTTTGTTGTTGTTGTCGTTTGTTTTTTTTTAATGGGTTTGTTTGTTTTTAAATGAGAGCGAGGACCCCGCAGGCGTCGGGAGCCGTGGATGACCCGGAAGGCCCGTCCCGCCCCGTCCCGGTGAGCCATGGCCTACCAGCTGTACCGGAACACCACGCTGGGCAACAGTCTCCAGGAGAGCCTGGATGAGCTCATCCAGGTGCGTGCGGGGTTTGGGGTCTGGGCAGTTAGCTCATTAAAAGAGAAGTTAGTTATTAAGTCGCCTTCGTGGATGCTCGGGGTGCTTAAGTTGCAAGGTCTGGAAAGCTCAGTGGTTGAAATGACCAGCCGTCGGTATTTCTGTTGGTGTGGGAAGGCTTTTCCTTAACATTCTAGGCCAAGGAGAACGTTTTATGTAAGTAGCATAATCCCTGGTTATGTGGCCAGTAAACGAGCAGTCAGATTAATCCGCAGCACTGTAATCCACTTCCTGCTTTTCTGGTTGTTTCCAGTGAATATTTATCAGAATACATCTTTGTTGTAGCACAAAAAATCACGTTGGTGGCACATTGCTGCTTCTGAGTGTAAACATGAAAAAGGGAGTATGCACAGGAATGTCATACTGCTGCAAATGGTCCTTCTAGACATCTCTCTGCTTTGTGTGAACTTTGATGTTTTTAATTTTTAATGCGTTTTTGAGTTTACTTTGAAATAACTCCACACTTTTTAAATTTTTTTAAACTATTTTAGTCACAGCAAATCACACCTCAGCTGGCCCTTCAGGTGCTGCTTCAGTTTGACAAAGCTATAAATTCGGCACTGGCACAACGAGTCAGGAACAGAGTCAATTTCAGGGTAAGATAACAATATATAAAAGCTCTTCATGAGGTACAGTAACTAAGCTTTGATGCAGAATGTTGTTAAAAGCTGCATGCTCTAAGCAAAAACTTGTAAAGGCCTGTTTTCATGCTGAAGTAATGGCTGTTACATGTATATTCTGTATGCAATTGTAAGACTTGTTACCTTCTTATTCTGCCAGGGATCTTTTGAAAGAATGCACAAATAAGAAACAGATTCGGTGGGTGGATAAAAACAGGGGAAGAGGGAAATAGAATAGACTCATAGAGTGGTTTGGTTTGGAAGGGACATTAAAAGATAATCTAGTTCCAACCCCCCCTGCATGGGCAGGGACACTTCCCACTAGACCAGGTTGCTCCAAGTCCTGTCCAGTCTGGCCTTGAGATGCTTTGAGCAGTATAATTGCTGTCCTCAGTGTTCTGCAGACAAAGAAGTGAGATGAAGCCAGATTTTCAGACACATCTAAAACCTGAAGAGAAACTAGAGAGTTGTAGATCTACCCTTATGTAAAGTCACTTATGGACAGTTTTGTAGCTATTTCTTTTAGGTATTGTAGAAAGGTAAGTTGGGGTTTTTTTCCCATCTATTCACCCATATTAATGTCAGATAGCCAGCAAATTGTTAAATGTCAAATCAATGGTAATTTTGAGAAAAAAGAAACAACCCAACAAAAACAGTTGTTCTGTTAACTTATGTCCTAATACTTCCTCTACAGTGTATGCAGAAACTATTAAGTAAGCTCTTTAGATTTTTAAACTATACAGATCTATTAAAAAGAGCATGACTTCTTTTCTCTAACACACTTGTTTTGTGTACATAACATGGCATAGACAATGTTCAGAATGTGCTTAGTAGATGAATTAAAAAAAAGTTACTTGGAGCTTAAGTTCAAGAATATCAGTTTAAAATATGTGAAGATAAAGGCCAAAAGGTTTACATATCAACATCCTCAGTAATATAGCTAACATGAGGGGTAGATTTCTATGTCACATAGGTCAGTTTTGTAATTATTTTTTATTTAAACTATCAATTTATTTAAACAATTGTGGAATTCACATCTTGTTATGGTAACTGCTGTAACTGATTTTTCTTACGGCACGTTTTAAGAAATCTGATGCTTTTCCTTTGGAAAAGTTATAAAACTTTTAAGAGTACCTGTGAAGCTTCTCCTTGGATAGTCTATAATGTCAGTACATGGTCTTAAAAATTTCAGCCACTGGAGGGCATTTAAACTACAGTTTTCCTTAGAATTGTTTGTTCCCGAGTTTGTATGCATTCAGGCTCACAGTTGGCTTTATAGCAAACTTAGTTTTAGAAGATATGTAGCTCAGTAGATAGTAAACATCATATTTTCTGTTACTTTTAGGATGCATCCTATAGAAAATGTCTCTTGTCTTTTTAAAGGGGTCTCTGAATACATACAGGTTCTGTGACAACGTATGGACATTTGTACTGAATGATGTTGAATTTAGGGAGGTCACTGAACTTGTGAAAGTGGATAAAGTGAAAATTGTAGCATGTGATGGAAAAAGTAAGTATGGAATATGATATAAATGAGCTGAAACACAAGACTTGATAGTCTGTAGAAAGCTTTGACTAAATGTCTGATTAAAGTTGCACTGACTGTATTATTCAGCCTTATACATATGCTGAGAAATGGAACAAAACTAAACTAGATGCTTCCCAAACTTATAAGCACTGGAACAGGATGCATTAGAGACTGCTGTACACCCCTTGTTGGGAAGTACATGCTACCAGAGCAATTGGAAAGTTGGAAATGATCTTCATTGATTTTCTATGTGGTGATTTTTCTATTAACGAGTTTGTTAGAACAGCACCCTGTGTTACTGAATTACAGGAGTGCTTCATCAGTCTGAAAAGCAGCTGTCTGAGACAACTATCAAAGCAATTATTTGCTGGATTTGTTTATGCTAGCATTTGCAACTCTTATGATTTATATATTGCTCACTGTATGTGTGTATACTGCTTACAGGAGTTTGTGTTCTATATCTGCCTGGCTGGATTACTTCTGTTTAATGTTCCTTGAAATTCTTTACTGGAAAAAGTAATTTAGTGACTTCTGTGGCAAGCTGATTTATAACTTTAAAAACCATAAGTGTGTCAGAATATCGCTAAAGATGTGTGATATTGTGCCACCTGGTTCATCCCTGAGGAGTGAAACTAAGAAAGAACTGAGAATGGAAAAGGCTTTATTTAAATATATCTTAGACCCGTGAAACAGGTTCTTCATGGCTTCCTGATCCTGGCATGATTACAGTGGTCACTTCAAGTTGTAGTTCCAAATTGTTTGCTCAACTTCTTTTACTAACTAAGCATATAATCTCACTCTATTTTTTGTGTGCTTATTATAGCTAGAAAAGGGAACCTTACTTTCCAAATATTGTTTTCACTTTTGATAAACTAACTGGGTGGCTTTAAGTTGCTATTAACTTTACAGCCTTTTTTTCCCCACAGGCAGTTGACTTGCTAAAGGAATGTAGTAAACACTTGATTGGGCTTTCTCCATTTCCAAGTTACATATTTTTCCCATAGCTCTAAGAACAAGAAAGCAGTTCTGGTAGTAATACCAGAAATTGCACTAGTGTTAATTGGTGCTCCTAAGAAAAGATCAGAACAGAGAATTGCTTTCAGCCGTTTTATGAAGATCGTGCTCATTCTTGCATCTATTTCAAAATGTGTATAGACCACACTCCATATGAGCTTCTGCTACGGGATGTGCAAAACCCTTTCTCCTTAGTAGGTTATGTGATTTAGCCAGATGTTCTTGTGGCTGACTGCAAGAAAGTGTGATCACTACAAGTTGGGGCAAATTCTTGTATTTTTAATGCCTTTATAGCCTTAATGACGTGTGTTTGCAACCTTGAAGTTTTGTGCTGGCTCTTTTCGATGTTGCTAACTGAAGTGAAACAGCATGAGCAGTTCATGCATCACGCTGATAGCAGTGGAGGGAATTGTGTAGGTACATTACATGTTGTAAAATGCTTGGGGGATGCTTTTGAGCTTGAGGAAAGTATTAGAGAATGGTATTGGTTCTCTTTAATTTATACTGAACTGTAGTGGAGCTATGCATTACTCACACTTTCTTTTTTCTTTTGTAGACACTGGTTCCAATACTGCAGAATGATTAGGACTGTGGTTTGTCTGCAATATTTTCTGTTAATATGCAGCACTTTCTGGAGAGAAGCATGGAAAGGGACTGTGTTCATAATTAATTTTTGTGATGCAGAGATGTGAGTTAATCTGTACCAGAAAGCATCACAGAATGACAGCGGAAGAAATATCTGTAGAATTTCTTCAGTTCACCTTATAGGGCATGAATACAATGTCATTTTTTGTTGTTGTTTCTTTTGGTGTTGTTTTTTTAATTATGACAGATACTGTTGCCTTTTCAAAATAATTTCTGTAATAAACTTTTATTTAAAAACTTACGAATGAGTGGAAAACTTAACGTTGATACAGTGTATTTTCCCAAGATTGTCTTAAGTGTGTTTAGAGTTAATGGTGCAAATGCAAAGGTCTTTCAGTTAAAAGGTTCTGAGTATGGTTGTACTGATTAGTACTGCAAGAAATGCCTGTTTCAAAATGATGGAGAAGGACAAAAGCTTAGCAGCTCATGCTGGTCACTATATTTGTCTATTTGTTACTTCATCTTCTTGTCTATACATTTGTCTGTTTGGTACCCTCTTCTAGTAATACATTAACTCAAGTATTAAAGTCATTGCACAGCTAATCAAAGTGAAATAATGAAATGGAGTCTTGAAAGATTGCACTACATTCTCAACAAATGTTTAGTGCTGCTGGTTTTACTCTTTTTCTTATTGGGTTTTGTATTTATGTGGAATACATTTAATTGGATACCTGGCCAACAGGATTTCAGTGAAAGAGTTGAACTATACATTCTGAGATATTAAGGGGTTAACTTTGTTCTTAGACTTATATATTCCACTAAACAACTTCCATCAATAAACCGTTCAAGTACTTTATTTACTAGAAATATGAATATAGTACTGACGGCTCATTTGTTTGACTTTACAGCAGTGGCTGTTCCAGTGTTGTCATAGGAATTCTAGCTGCCTCAGGAGTGTCAAATACATTTATTTTTGACAGTAGGCTACTTACACACCACTAGAAATCGGAAAGTGTATAGAAGAGAAGTTGGGGGTCACTGTTTTCAGATCAGTCTAAATCTTGGGACTGTTGGTTGATGAGAAGCTCATCCATGAGCTGGTGATGTGCGCTGGCAGCCCAGAAACCAACCATGTCCTGGGCTGCATTAAAAGCTGTGAGGCCAGCAGGGCCAGGGAGGGGATTCTCCCCTTCTACTGTTCTTCTCAGGCCTTGAGCTGCCAAAACAAGGACATGGAGCTGAGAGGAGGGCTAGGAAGGTGATCTGAGGGCTAGAGCAGCTCTGCTGTGGAGACAGGCTGAAGGAGTTGGGGTTCAGCCCAGAGAGGAGAAGGCTCCAGGGAGGGGAGACCTTGGAGCACCTTCCAGTACCTGAAGGTACTACAGAAAAGCTGAGGAGAGACTTTGGACAAGAGCAGGGAGTGACAGGACAAGAGGTGATGATTTTAAACTGGAAGAGGGGAGATTTATGTTAGACATTAGGAAGACATTCTTCATTCTGAGGCTGGTAAGACCCTAGCCCGGGTTGCCTAGAGAAGCTGTGGAAGCCCCATCCCTGAAAGTGTTCAAGGGCAGGTTGGATGGGGCTTGGAGCAACCTGGTCTAGTGGGAGGTGTCCCTGCCTGTGCAGGGAGGTTGGAACAAGATGATCTTTAAGGTACCTTCCAAACCATTACATGATTCTATTACGATTCAATTTGTGCCAAAACTGGAGCACAATTTACATGTTGAAATCTTTTACTATGTGTCAGTGGCCAAGTCTATTAAAAGAAAAAAAGCTTTAGTATCTAATACTTTTCCAGACTGATGTTACAGTTCTCTAAATTCTGCCTTTGAATATTTGGGCCTTGGCTAATTTCTGCGTCCCTCACTGTGAGTGAGAAAGTAGTTAATGAACTTACTTGCTAGACTGTTGATTTTTCTTTTATTCCTTGTATCCATGCTAAATGTCATTTGTTGTAAACTGCACACTGGTAAGTAAACATTTTTGAAAGCAGATCAGACTATTCTCATTTGAACAGCACAGTGAGTATCTGTTGAGGTAATTTATCTTAGAGGGTGGAAATGTAAATCCATACCATGGTTTTATCTTTTTCTAAATCACTCAATCATCTAGATTTAAGCAGGTTTTGTTCTCTAACAATCATGTGGCAAACTGAATTTCAGCCCTTACAAATATAAAGGTTTTCTATTCCTACCTCCAACACTTTGCAGTCTCTTCCTGTCTCTGGTCAGAAACTTCTCAGTCTCCAGTTCTCTGTAGCTTTTGGACTCCCTCCTAATGCAAATAATTATATATCTGATTTTGTTCCAATTAAGTGTACATGAGTATATTTACTGTACCATTTTACCATTGAAAATCAGTTTAATAAGAGAAGCACAATTGTACTGATGATGTGAGGCTATTGTGTGGAATGGATTTATGTTCACAATTCATTGATATTCCTCTGTCAGACTTACCTTGCATTTAACAGTTGTATTTTAATTGTTTAACAGTTGTACTTCAGCACTCCTAGGCTTAGTGCTACAGCAGTTGTTAATTGAAAGGAAAAACAGTATTTCACTGAAAAAGAAAATAATGTAATGAATATAAATATACTAAAAAAAATATATAAATGAAAGGAGAAATAATTTTGACAAAGATGTCGGCTCCTTAGTAATCAGTGTGAGCAGGAACCAGAAATTACAATGTTTATAATTCAGGACAACTTTGCAGACTTCTTTAAAAAAAGAAGTAATAGTCCCACAGAAGCTTTGGACTTGGTCCTTTGGAAGCAGGTGGTGATGAAATACTCCCTGTGCTGATGAGTAACAGTAATACTTTGATTTGTACATCCTACTTATCCAGTGGTTGCTATTGGTCATATAATCACAGAATGGCTAGGGTTGGTCATGAAAACAGATTTTAATATTGTCTTGCCTTGTAAGAAAGCATTTGAAAAGGAGATGGGAATTCTGAAATTAATTTAAATACTTGAACCAAAGTCTTACTGTACTGAAAAAATGTGTAAATGCGTAGGTGACATTGATGTTCTTGGTAAGCTTGTTGTTTAGCCTGAGATAAGTGAGTGGCAAAAAGTGATGCAGATGAATAATATATTACATGTTCTGGATGTTTCTGAACTGCTACTAGATTTTTCCATTTCCAAATAATAATATTAAAAGAAATGCACAACAGACTTTAAAGATCTTTAGATAAACTGGAATTTTTGGGGACAGGAAGTGTCCAGTTCCTGGGCACAGTGATAGCAAAGGGAATTTGCATCATTCAGTCTGCAAAAGTCCGGAAAGCAGCACAAATGGGGAGGAAGGGAGTATTTTAGGTCAAACAGCCAAGCGAATGAGTAGGAACAAGTGGGCAGTCATAACATATGCTTCTGTAATCTTGACATTCCTTTCTGTTCTCAAGCCTCAAGCCTGAGAAGGCACTTCATACCAATCAACAGAAGAGAGAAGTTGCCAAACAAAAATAAAAATGGAAGGAAAGAATAAAGGGTTTTTATTGCTTTACTCTCCATAACTTGCTCCTTGCTGTTTTTTGTGTTTGAATTTAATCTAATTCCTCCATGTTAATATGATTATTGTGCTTTGTGATCTTGGAAGAATTGTTAAACTTGCAGCTAAAACTATTAACTGCAGTTTTGTTATACTAAGCTATTTTAATACCCTGTGGAAGACGAACCATCTCACTTGCTGCAGCATCAGCATACCTGCTGTTGCCTGTTTGGCTCTGCCTTGCCTGTGGTGTTACGGACTGATGCATTTGTTAGTTTTTCTGCTGATTTTATTCACAAGGGTCACAGTTACTTCCACCTGTCAGTAACACAAAGTACAAGATACCTTTGCACCTAGACCTTGAGCTGGAATGGATATTTCTATTTAGAAAGTAAATGAACTAAAAGAAAGGGAAGAAAAGGAAGAATAAACACCAATACAGAATTGGCTGTGGGTGACTGCCTGTGTTTATTTGTGGCTCCCGAGAGAAAGGATTTTGTGAATTCCCTAAGAGCACAGAACAGGATGTCATCTGAAGTCAGCTGCTTGCACAGTCAGGGCTGTCAATACCTGACTTTAAGTGCTATGAGAGAGACACGAAGTGCAGAGCAGGAAGAACTTACAAGGAAATCCTGAAATAAAAGTTTAATCAGGATCATTATGTATTACACAATGACCGGGTTCAATAAGGTAGATGAGAGTTACTCCAAACTTTGCTTTTAAGGACCTCAGCAGCTTAAGAGGCAGTATTTCAGTTTAAGTACTAGTGACTTGGTTTTGCTTTTCTGTTCTTTAGAAGTTCCTGGGGTGAAATAAAGAAAAGTAGGAGTATGGTAAAAAGTGTTTAATAAGACTGTACTGGGAATTGTGGCCATTTCCTTCACTGTAACTTAGAGGGTGATCTTTGTTAGGAAAATAGCTTTTCTCAAAGATAAATTTACTGTTTAAATTAGCCATTACGACTTAGCAGGAAGTAAGTCTCAGATATATTAGTATTTTGGTTTTCACTTTGTGCTAAAAAAGCCTGCACCCTTCAAGGAAGTGGTAAAGAGATCACTGAAAGTCTAATTAGTGTTTAATGGCCACTGCTGTTGCAATCAGAAGAAAAAGGACACCCTAAGCCTGTACCTGGAATCAAATGACTGTAAATACTGATTTTTGTTCCTGTAAGTCATGTTTCCTTCTAGTTTTTTGAGAATTTATTACTTGGTTTCCTCTGAATTTATTTTAATTGATTAGTCTCTTTATTACAGTATATTTCAGAGATGATCATATAGAGTATGAAAGAAATGCAAAGGAAGAAGAAAATATACCCTTTTAACTAGAGTTAAGAACTTAATAGACCCACTGTGTAAATATGTAGTATGCCAGTTTCAGCTTATATTAAGTTGTTCTTATAAAAATAAACTGAACAATACTTGGAAATATAAATTTAAGTGAGGTGAGTTTAAAAAAAACAACCTGTTACTAGATTTCAGAAGTACAATTTCACCTTCTTCCTGTGCATTGTCTTGAAAACTACGTTTGCAACGTATTTCCTCCTTAAACAAATGGTGGTTTAAATAAAAACCTGAACTTTAAATAAATCACCATTCTATCTACAATCATTAACTAAAAACCTGAACTTTAAATGATTGTAGACAGAAGTGTCAGACAAAGTTAACAATAATATTACTCAGGCAACTACATTTCCAGTTTGGATAGTCCAGGATTTTACTGATGAAGTCCACATGGGGTTTAACCTTTTTTTTGGAGGTGATCCTATATTCTGATAGTCAGTGCTACTTTGGGCTACAGCTTGTCCTT